TTTTTTTTTTATGGGGAGAAGCTTTACTGGCTCTAATGGGGATCAACCCTTCTGTCCACAGAAGCCCCTTTCCATATAATGTGAGAAGTAGAGAATTTGGACCCCACTGATGGAGCAGGGTAACAGAAGAGAGGAACTCAGATTTTTCTGAAGCTTCTCTTACTTCCCTCCATTTATGGATTCTTTAGAAAAGAAAAAAAGAAGCTCTCAGTGAAGAGCTGAGAATAAGAGGGTGCTGGAGAGCTCCGTAGGGAATAAGGAAGAAGCAGCACACAACTAGAATAAAAAACGCCTTTGTGCTATGGGGAAGGAGGGAGGTGTGTGAGGTGCCTGGCTGTACTGTACCCCTAGAAAGAACGGGAATGGAGAGCAGGATAGGCAGGGCTAGGGGAAGCTAAGGAGTCCTGCCAGTGCTGACTCAGCCTGAGAGTCTGTCAGAGTGCGCCTGTGACTTGGGGAAGGGGTGCCCTATGGGCAGGGATGCCAAGTTATGGGAAAGGACAGAGGGCCTGGGAGGGACAGGGGACCCCGCTGGGATGTGTGAGGGCAGCACATCCCACAGGAGCTACCTGAACCGTCACGTCTTCAATTTGCTGTCAAGGGAACTCTCCCTGTAGACCAAAGGCACACTGCTCATCTCAGCCCAGTTCCACAGGCCTCTGCAGCTTTGACCAGGTTCCCTGGTAGTTTTCTTGGCCTTAATGCAATTTTGTCATGCCTTAACCTTTCCTCAGCACACAAACAACACCCTAGGCCAACACAGAGTAGAGATAATAGGCACAATAAATGTCTACTGTCCATTCAGGAAGTTAGGGTGGATAAATATGCAGAGACACTGCCAGGTAAGCAGGAACTAGGGAGCAATCTGCCTCCAACAGCTGGTTCAACAAAAGGATCTGGACAAAGCAGATTAACTCTGGTAAAAGCTCGAGAATGCCTTTTCCCCTCTCTCACTGCCTGTGCCCAGGTCATCCAGGAGGCCAGCTGGAAACAAAGGGCATTGCCAGGACTGACCAGCCTTCCTGCCCAGAGGGTTTAAGCAGAAAAACTCCCAGGGGTTCGAAGTCACAGAAAAACCACAGTGTGGTGAGAGCTGATCTCCCCACTGGGTTATCTCACTGAGCCTTCCCTGTGGGTGGGCATCTGTACCATCCTGTCTTGCAAGTGGGGTCCCTGAGCCTCAAAGAGGTTACATGAGCACAAGCCCACACAGTAGATGTCAATGCCCAGAGCTGAACTCACAGTGTGGCTGCAGAGCACACGCTTCACACACCAAAAAGAAAGGGAGCGGGACTGCTAACACCCAGGCGCCTGTCCACCTCTGGATGCTCCTGGTTCTCAGCTCAGAGCCACCTGGGATTGAACACCTGAAGAAATCACTTCCCAAGGAAGCACCCTCTCTCCTTCAGTATCCACATCTGGGAGTTCAGGTGCCTGGAAGTACAGACTGAGCGGGAAGTTCTAGCTCCAGGGAAAGTGATCACTTGAGAGATGTCTTCTCTAGTCCACTATGATTCCGGGTGGCAGAACTGGGAGAACTTTGGACAACAGCTTGTTCACATACACAGAAGGGAGTGGAAGCCCAGAACAGGAAAGCTCAGAGATGAACTTAAAGCATTTGGGGCAAGACCCTACCCTAGCCCAGCCCTCAGCCCAGGGGGCTTCTCCTGAACTGGAGCTCATGTTGGCTGAGTGCTGGCTGCTCACTCTGCTTCAAGTAAATGATACCATTTAATCCTCATATCATCAACCTTACAAGATTGGTCCAGGTACCAATCCCCTTTACCTTTGAAAACAAAAGCACAAAGAAGGTAAATAACCAGGAATATTGAACCAAAAGTTAAACAGGCTTAACCATATTCCACCTCAGAGTCTGATCCTGGACTCTCTCAATGAACCACTGGACCACATGCCATGGACAGAGACAAGCCACTGAGTGTGTACCACCAGCATAGTACCACGCTGTAAACCGCGCGCTTTGCAAAATTACTGAGGACTCTACAGAGATTTTGCTTATAAAGGTTCTGTCTAGTTATATTTGCTGAGTTAAAATTAAACAGAATTTTAAAAAAGAACTTTAAACCTTTTGAGATAATTATAGGTTTTTATGCAGTTATAAGAAAAAATACAAGAAAGCACACATTGTAGGTCCTCCCTGGTGGCACAGTGGGTTGGAGCACTGCACTTCAAAATGTATAGCATTTTATTTTAAAAAAGATTTATTTATGCATACGGAGCTGGGGTACAGGCCAGAGGTGCAGGGGTGGTGAGAGGATTCACCAGAGACAGAGTAGGGAGTAGAACAGGCAGATCGACGAAGTACACTGCTGAGGGGAGCAGTGGGCAGGTCAGGAGAGGTCTGTCTCACTATATGGGTTACCTCTGGGGCCGGGGAACAAAC